ATAATATTACGGACCCTCGACTGATTCCAGGATAACCTATACAAGCTCAATTTTAACTCCGTCACACTCTAATAAGTTATTCTTTAACTTCTAATTAAATAAGGCTCACGATACCTGTACTCTTGTGAAGTTCTAGTGTTGAGGCCTTGAACGGTAATCTTTAATTGGATTCGATCACCTCCAAGTGATCCTCTCTTGGAATCCTTCAATTGATACTTTTATAAACTTAGATTTGCACTTAATAAATTCGCGTCCTCCACTCACCAACTAACTCTCAAAACTCACGAATACAGAATTTATATAATTTACTTAATTTGCATAATCATGTTTTCTTCCTTCAGGGAAAGTTGGTTGGCAAAATTATTTCCCCAGAAGAGTCCCCAAGGCGTTAGTTATAGACGCGTATATATCCGTCACAAATATAGAGTTGTTTTATTTAAAAGCAGTTTAATGCATCTCTCTCTTTTTTTATTGGCGATATCTAAGAATTAATTTCAAATCTCGATATCCGAAAGTATCAACACAAATTTATAGATAGGAATGTGAATTTGGTTTGAGAAAGGTTTAATTTATGCTGCAGAATTGATTTGGTGCTGTTAAAATGGGAAATATTCGCCAAATCTCTCTGTTTTTAACTTTCTCATCGGTGTTAATTGAGTCATTCAAGGAAATAATAATAATAATTCACCTTGATTTTTACTAAATAAAATTTGTTTTTTCTAAATATTTTTGATGAATATTATTTTGGCAGGAAATGAAGACGGGTGATCCGATTGGGGATAAAATGGTCACTGTGGTCATCGGTGAGGACTGGAAACGAATTCGAACTCTCATCACACCTGCATTCACCTCGAAGAGAATGAGACAGGTAACATGATATTCTGTAGTATTATATAAACCATATGAAATTGTTAACTATGTTGTGTTTTCATCGTTTATTTAGTTATGATTTATCGAAGAATATCGAAACATTTCCTTTTGTGAAAAATGAAAGAAGGGTTATCTTTTATTTTCTTTACAACCTCAAATATGAGAATGATACAGAAACTGTTTGTGTGCAAAAACATGGGGTTTTAAACAATATTTCCTGGAAAATCATTACATGACAAAAAAGCTTTAGATAAGGATACTCATCCAGTACAATATTTATTCTTTAAATGTGTTTTAATGACTATATTACTCGCTCTAAATTATTCCAAGAATTTTTTTTCCCCTGATCTTATGAATTAGATGCATTTATTGAAAATGAAAGAGGAATATACGAGTAAGTATGAAAGAACTGCAACAATAAAACCTGCGCGTGAGGTAGAAAAAAGTACGAGATAAATTACTTAAGTAGTATGTTTTTGTAATATTAAGAAAGTTTCCATTGTAAATTTTTTTATGAATTTCCGTGAACACATTGGAAATTACTTTGTATGCAACTATGTACTTCAATTCCTTGTTTTTCTAAACTACTTTTTTAAAGATACATAAAAACTGAATTTTTAATTGTTCAAAAATCTGCCTTTAATTTTTTTAAAGTTTTTCTCAAGGAGTGATATTGATCTATAATCAAAGTTAAAATATAGAAATTGGTAATTTAGTGGAGCAAGTTTAATTAAATATAAGAATTACCAAAAATGATAAATATATAATTTTTTTTATCTTTCAACAATAAAAATAACTAATTACAATTTCTTAAAATTATATAAACAAGCAATTACAGTATTCTAACAGAAGAAAAGGTTACCCATTTTTAATTTAGTATTTTTTTAAGTAATGGCACATTTCCCAGAAAGTACTGTTGTGCTAAATATTTTTGAATTCAATATTATTTTAAATTTTATTATTGTAAATTATTTATAAAATGAACTTCTTATTTTAAAATTAAAAGAAAAAGTTTTAGTCACACTTGAGAGAATGTTACTGTTCATAAAGAGTGTTCACTTCATTTTTACATGCTTTTCTTTTTCGTTGCAGATGAGTTCCATTATGAATGAGTGCTCAGAAACGCTTGTAAAAGTATGTGAAAAACACTACAACAAAGGAGAGACTGTAGACGTCAAAGGGTACTTAAGAGAATTACCTTATTTAAATCTCCGAAAAACTAAGCAAAAAAAAATGTTTAATTTATTCCATGCGTATTCTTAGATTTCTCTAGGAATCTTTTAACTATAATTCATTCCAAAATTACGAAAATGATATTAATTTGGGAATACTTAAATAACCATGATTTACTTAATCGTAAAAGACATCCGGGTTTGCCATAGCTACATGAATTGAAAGTCTATAATATAATGTTACAATAGTATAGATTCGCTTTTATTTAATTCGTTGTGACTCCAACATCGTGTTGAGCTTTTATTTAATTCGTTGTGACTCCAACATCGTGTTGAGCTTTTATTTAATTCGTTGTGACTTCAGCATCGTGTTGAGCTTTGGTTAACAAGTTTCAGATATTTCACCCTTCTTCCTTCATCATTCTGTCGCAGGTCTGAGTTCTGGTGCCACTGAAGATCCACCTTGTTGAGGGGGCGGATGCACGTTGAATCTGTTGGTGCTCAACGTCCTCCCGTTGGTGTAGTGTGGTGTAGTAGTTAGTAGAGGGGGGGGGGGGGAGGGAGTGCCAGCTCAAGTGTTGCCCTCATCACTCTGCTGAGGTTCAAAATTATAAAGTTCGTCACCAATAGACCTCGTGTTGCTTTATAGTACGATGTTGCTATAACTTTCTAACTCCAACTCTTTCTGCTCCAGCATTCAGACGTAAAATTACTTCCGAACAAACGGAATAAATAAAATATAGAGATAGAGAAGTCCTTTTGATCCAAACTGGATCCCGAGATTTCAGCGTTATCGACCATAAGGGAACGTGGTTTTGAAGAGGAATGTTTGAACGAGGCAAACATAGTTAGTATTATATAATCTTACGGAAATACAATTTTATACATGTTACGTTTGTAAAAAAACACTTCTTTTGGTTGTTCAGTGGTATTATATTCTGTTTTAGCCCTCACATTATCAAAATAACTTTTTCAATTTTATTACTGATCCAAACACAAGCTTTTGAGAGTTATTCTTATTAGTTAACACGTCATTAAAGGAAGGAAAGTGGCACGCTAATGGAGTTCATGAAGTAGCAGTGGGTATATGCGTAAAATTCTTGATTTTAAAGGGAATTCAATGTTACATGACATTTTAATTGTAATTTCAAGAACCATTGAATCAAAGAAATGGAAATTTTCTAAGCAAAATTTCCTACTCGACAGTTATTAATAGTTAAATTATGGAAAAAAACTGTTTTAAAAAGAAAAAAAAAACACCTCATATGTGCTTTATAATATTACAACAGCCTTCTTGCCAAAGTTCAAAATTTAGTCGCCAAAATAAAATATTACTGCAACTCTAAAGGGCTTTCACCAAAAACTATATTCAGAATGTTCCTTGTTTTTTTTCCCTTTCAAAAACAACATTATTATTTTTAATATTTTTTTTCTGCTGTTTCAAGTAATTTTATCTATTTTGTGCAGCATGTTTGGTGCCTTCACGATGGACGTGATCGCCAGCTCCGCTTTCGGAACCAAAGTGGATTCACACAACGACCCCCAGAACGAATTCGTGAGAAGGGCTAGAGAAGCGTTTCTAAAATTCACTCCCTTCGTCATCATGTTAAGCGGTAAGCATCGTCATGAAAGATGTCGCCATGTACTTATTTATCTAGATTGCTGAAGATTTTTTGAAAATGATTATGTAATAGTGCATGTGAAATGTGATGAAATAAAATTGTCAAAAGTCGACAAATTTACATTGATTAGTAATTGTAGGCTTTCGCAACCGAGAACGAAAATTTTCATAATTACTTTTTCGTTGAAGTATCTTTGAAACTTCTTTTTATATTTTATCAATTTTTCATGCATGCAACCAATAATTCATATTATAATAAAGCATATATTAATTAATTCCGAGGAAACCCATGTGCTTCTGCAACCTGATGGGATGAAAATGGTTTCTTTATCTATGCATTGCCTCCATAATATATCTTCATGCACAATTATCGGAAAAACATGTCATTTTATTAACTTTCATTATTCTCATAACAGATAAACAAAATCGATATTTTTGTTGACTGCTCAAGGTAACTAAGATGTAATGTTTATGAATCATTAACCTGATTAATTCATTACATATTAACTTTTGAAATTTTCTTCAATTACTGCTATTTTTGCAGAACAAAGTTGACAATAAAACATAGCATCTAATACAATAAAATAAATGTTTCAAAATTTATTCTTATTCGATTATTAGTTCCAGAAATATTTGCAAAATATATCATAGAATCACGTACATACTGTAAGCGGTTTATATGCAAAGCATTTAGCATTTTATAAACTCTAAGATTTTCCCGTAATTTTTTACTGAATTACATTTGTCATTTCCTTTTATTTATTTTGAGAAAAAGATCCTTCTTAATTTGATGTTTTTGTTATAGTTCACAATATATTTCTAAATACTGACTTACGTTAAATCAATGTAAAACTCTCACCCATTGTGAATGTCCTCTTTTACTAGTAAATTATTTTTCAAAATTGTACAAACGCTTTTTGGCTGACCGGTGTTTGTGATACTCACCAAAATATTGGGATGCTGGTTCTTCCGGGAGGTTTTATTTGTTGCTCAAAGCCCTTTTTAGGTTTAGAGTCTCTATCCCTATTATAGATGCCTCTTTGGATGGAAAAAATATATGTTCTCAATTTGGAGAAAAAATGCAATTACATAAAAAGAATTTTTTTTTTTACTATTTATTCTTGGAAATGAATGCAATGATATAAATTAGAAAAATTAAATCCAAATTCCTTAGGAGAGCTCCATATTATTCTCCAATAATCAAAATAAATATAGATAAGGTACTTAACTTTACTCTGAGCCGCCGTAGCCATATCTGTTACTCATTTAGTTCCACTCAGGAGGCACGCGTGAATTAAGGATTTAAGGACGCGAGTAACGTTGTCACCTAAAATAACTTCCCACGCCGGGAATCGAACTCGGACATCCTAGGTGAGAGTCAGGTATCCTAACCTCTAGATTACGAGGGAGACTTCTCAACGGATCCCTTCCAATGTGGGTATCGACGGTAACGAAAAGACAGACTTGCTAGCCAAGAGAGGAACAGTCACAAAACAACAAACCACTTCCACCAGAGTCACTTAAAAACATATTTTTGAAAAATTAGTGGATACCCTTAAATCTGACCAGGCTTCAAAGTCAGCAGACAAATCCTGGCTTTCCAGATTTTTAAAAAGTTTTGTCAAAATCTCAGTAAAGAGGCTGTGGAAAATTTTAGACTGCAAACAGGTTATGATTGCTTGGTACATCATCTTAATAAAGTAGGCACACCCTTCCATCTAGTATAATTCCAAATTTGTAATTCGGACATCTCAAATACAGAGCCTCTTCTTATAGACCCAGAACTAGATACAATGTCTCAAAACCGTGGTGAGATGAGCAAACTATACTGCAATGCAAGAACTTTTATGAATCTTTGTAAAGACCACATCTCTTATGTGTTTCTTTTCTGGTTGTTTAAATTTGTAACTTTTAATTTTGTTCCCATATTAATTCATCCAGTTCTTACTTTAAATGTTTGTTCTTTTTTGTTATTTATCATTGTTCTTGTGTGATACTTGAGCTGTTTTCTATATTTGAATTGGTCCTTCCAACAAAGTCAGATGCCCCACAACAACAGGATCATTATTTTTCATAAATTGATACAGCCTTCAAATTTTTCGGAATTCAAGCTTCCCCAAAACGCATTAACCAAAAAGATGTTTTCCTATTTCAGCGATCCTACCACACTGGTTTTTGAAAATGATTCCTGAATCTATCAGTCCCTTCAAATTTGACAATGATAATTTTTTCCGAAACGTTACTATGAGCATTATCAAACAGAGAAGAGAGACCGGAAGAGTAAGTACATTTCAGTACATGCAACTGAACTCACAGCAACACTTCTGAACACAATTCTAATGATAAATAATATAATGTTGCCCTATTTCAGAGGTACAACGACTTTTTGCAACTTCTAATGGATTCTTCCGATGAAGTAGCCCAAGCCGAGAATCAAGAAGAGGTCGAAGACGAAACCGACCGTTTCGGAAGCATCACATTTAGTGAAACGTCTCCATCTGCCAAGTACAAAAGTAGGCTTAATATATTTATCACATTTTCTTAATATTTATTATATCAGTCATTAAAAAGTACAAGATATCCGTTCAATTTTTTTTCCTAAAATGGCCACATAAAAACTCACAACAAGCTTTGAAAGCCTGAATTTTTGTTTATTTTACGTAATTTATAGGTACTACTATATTGGATTGAACTGTAATAATGTTATGTCATACCTTTTGTCACTGTTTAAACGTGAATTGCATGAAGTTTCATGCAACGACTCTTTTGGATTTATCGGCTTAATTTCATGATGTATACAAAATATTTTATTATTCCCATTGGCAAAACGCATACCGTTTTAAATATAAACGCTTGATAGCGAAGCGTATGTGGTTTCACAATTGACTTATCTATATGTTTACATTCGTGATTTTCGCTTACGTCAAATTATTTTGGAAACGTTTATATGATAGTGAGTAGAATTTAGCAAAATGGAATATTACCTCTGATATCATCCTCTTGTTACAACCTAGATCGATTATTAACAAGGATAGTACTGATGAAACTGACAGCTCATTCACAAAAATACTTTCAGCCTTATTTGACCTAAGGTAGTCATGAAACGTAAGTACTAAGTTTTTTATATGTAGTGTAAGTTTTTTTAGTATCAGAAATGTGATAATGTGTGTAAATTAATAACAAATATTTGAATTCTTTAAGCTTTTGTTATAGATGGGTGGGTACTATTTTGACATCGGTACGAGACTCATTTTTAGCGGGACTTTGGAATCACGCGAAATTTTTGGTGACCAGTCTGATGTTGACATACTAAAATGCTATCATCCAAACTTGGTGAAATTTTACAACTCTTTGGTGGAAAAAACCATAGCATACCATTATCATATTTGTTCCAATGGGTGTACCTGTTTGTTGTAAAAAACGCTCCTGGATTATCTGTTTCTGATCATAAAAAAAAACCCCTAAGCAAAGTTGATATTTTCGCAATTTTGTATCCCTCACAGATGACGAGACAAATCACTAAATAGGACTTTGCGTTGAGATGCACTGATTTTACTTCACGTTTGTTTTAAAATGGAAATTTAAAGATGCTACATTTGCCATAAAACAATGCATCTGAAATAATATTGCCTTCCGTAATCAAATAAAGTTTAGCAGTTAGAATGCAAAAACAACCAGTCCGAAACAATTGTTTATTAACTGGGATTACAAGTTATACAAACCTATTTTCACCGTAACCAAACGATGCCTTCGAAAATCACTTGGTCGTGCATTACTAAATGTGAAACCTTAACTACGGTATTGGTGGAAATAAAATCCTCACTCAATGGTAGACCATTGATTTCTGAGCATGATGAGGGTGATACAGATGAAGTTTTGACCCCAGCTCATTTTCTAATGGTAGAAAGTTGATCACTGTTCCATCTGCAACTTAACCTACAAATAACAAGCTCACAAGTATTTACAGGCAACAGCAAGTCTTATTAGATACGTTTTGGAAAAGATGGTCCAAAGATTATTTGTCGGAGTTACGTTCAATTCATCAAGCATGAAACGCCAAGCAATCACCACGAGTACGTGTAGGAGACTTGGTCCTAATTTACGATCACGACATATATGGATAAACTAGCTTTCATGGCCCGGCGTTGCACTGGCTTATACCGAGGGTATAACTTAATCCCCATGTTAATTTCCTCCTTTTATTCTAACGCCAACACTTTTGTGGGGTTTCACGCGTACGATGTGAATACATGTCCCGTGAGTGCGTGTCATGGCTTTGTTGCTTAACATTTTCCCTTCTCTTCGCAAATTCTCGATCCTAGTACCACTGAAGACCCGCCGTGTAGAGGCTAAATGCACATAAATTATGTCGAGAGCTCAAACGTCCTCCCGTTGGTGTGGTGTGGTAGTTATGAGAGGGGGTGCTAGCTCAGGTGTCGTCCGCGTCACTTGACCATGGTTCAAAATTACGCGGACCGTCCCCAAAAGGCCTCGTGTTGCTGAACAGTGGGACGTTAATATTCACTCAACTTCACAAATTCAGCACTTCCAATATTATTTTCCGAAATTACTTTGATTTCTTTGTTTCTTTCCTCTCCGCTTAGCCCTGCGGTACACGGGCTTTTACCGACTGAATAACTTCACCCTCATGGAAATTTCGTGTTTCCCTCAGGCCGATAGCACTTGTGTGTGCGTGCGTGCGATGTGAGTGATTTCTTTAACAATCTCATAAAAACTCCCTTTTTCGAAATTTGTTCTTGCGTTGGTGTGGTGTGGTAATTATTAAAGGTGGGTGAAAGCTCATGTGTCGTCCTCGTCACTTGAGCATGGTTGAAAATTTCGAGGTCCGTCACCAAAAACCCTCGAATAGGCAAACAGTGCGAATTTAAAAATCACCCACTCACTCTCCAATTCTTTCGTTTTACCGAGTGAATAACTTCATCCCCATGGAAATTTCGTGTTTCCCTCAGGCCGATAGCACTTGTGTGTGTGTGTGTATGCGCGCGATGTGAGTGATTTCTTTAACTATGTCATAAAAACTCCCTTTTTCGAAATTTGTTCTTGCGTTGGTGTGGTGTGGTAATTCTAAAAGATGGGTTAATGCTCAGGTGTCGTCCTCGTCACTTGAGCATGGTTGAAAATTTCGAGGTCCGTCACCAAAAACCCTTGAATAGGCAAACAGTTCGAATTTAAAAATCACCCACTCACTTTCCAATTCTTTCCTTTTCCTGAGTGAATAATTTCATCCCCATGGAAATTTCGTGTTTCCTTCAGGCCGATAGCACTTGTGTGTGTGTGTGTATGCGCGCGATGTGAGTGATTTCTCTAACTATGTCATAAAAAATCCCTTTTTCGAAATTTGTTCTTGCGTTGGTGTGGTGTGGTAATTCTTAAAGATGGGTGAAAGCTCAGGTGTCGTTCTCGTCACTTGAGAATGGTTGAAAATTTCGAGGACCGTCACCAAAAATTTTCGAATAGGCAAACAGGGTGAATTTTAAAATCACCCACTCACTTTCCAATTCTTTCGTTGCAATTTTTTATTTCACGGAAACGAAAATGTAGTCTTTTTAAAAATAGTTGTATGCTGAAAAAAAGACAGAAAGTATAAATTTTTAAAATTACAAAATTTCACTACTATTTTAATTCTTGGAGTAAAATTGTGAGGATTTTTTTGAAATATTCGACTCAAGGGAAAAAAGTTTCATGCAATTACCTTTATAAAAGAAGAAATTATTAAATGATTGATTTAAGTATTTTAAGTGTTTTATTACAATTCGTTCAAAAAAGTTTTCGGCTTTTTATTTTTTAAATCACTGATTCTGAAAGTTTTAAAAATAATTTTTATATAAACGCAACGATATTGATTCATATGAGAAAAAATCATAAAATATGGAAAACAGCATTGTTTTGTTTAAAAAAAAAAGTTGTTTTTTTCTATAAA